AAGAAGAGAAAGAAGAAAAAGAAGGAAAGGAGGAAGAAGAGGAAGCTGAAGTTTCGGGGAATGTGAAGGAAGAACCTCAGAAAACTCCAAGAAGGGAAAAACTTCCCTTTAAGAGAGCTCCTGCAAGGGGTGGACGAAGGCAGTTCCTAGTCGAGACAACTGACATGACTCAATGTCAAACTATGTTTGGTCTCGGAGCAGACCTTCTAGCCACTCAAGTGCAAGCCTTAGAAGACACAGTTAGAAGGGAGCTGCAATCTCTGAAAGAAGCCAGCTTGCTCATCAACAAAGAAAAGGTGGCCCTGCAAAATGAACTTGACCAGATAAAAAATGCTGGACCACTGCCGCAGAAAAAAAAGATTGAGGAAGGAGAGGGATCCTCAACCTTGCAACACACGGTAAAAGACCTGGTGAAAGCAGTAGAGATGATGAACAAGAGAATGAAAGAGAGGGAGCAAGCCCACGAAAAAAGCAGGAAGGACTGGAAGGAGGAGATCGGGCTCTTGAAAGATGAATTGATGAAAAGCAAAGAGGAGGAAATTCAACTTCGATTGTACTACCGAGCTCGGGATCAAATCTTCGCCAGTAACTGGGGAGAAAAATTCAAGGGACAAACTCCATATCCACTGTTTCCAAATGTCTTCCCTCCAGAAGCAATAACAAATGCTTCGTTTAGCGGAGCAAGACAAGAAACTGGAGAGCATTAAGGGTCGCTACGGTGACCCCAGGTTCATTCGTTCCCTATCCTTTTTAACTTGTTTAAATCTGTTGGAATGAATGCTTGAAAGTTTTGTGGTGAAATGTTACTGACTTTGCTCTTAGATAAATGACTTTTGTGGTGTACCAGGGATTCGCCACCCTGTTTTATTTTATTTTTTAAAAAAATATATTGTTTTTAATTTTTGCTAAGTTTACCGTCCTAAGTGTCCTGATCTACTCAATGATTCTTTTTGCCCAGGATTCTGCTCCTTGAGATGCCCTAAAGAGTTTACAGTTTCTAACAAAGCAACATAGGGCATCACTCTGATTTAGAGCAACACCATGCACAAAAAGCAGCACTCCAAAAATCAGACACTCTGTTATTCAGTGGACTATTTGAGTTACCAAGGAAAGAACTTCAGGCTGTTTAAGTAAATTGCTCTGCTCCTGGTTAAAAAAAAAAAAAAAAAAAAAAAAAAGTCAGCTCCTCTGCTCCAAAAATTTCGCTCAAAGAGCTCAAGTCATCAAGGTAAGAGCAAGAGCCGCTCAAAGAGCATACTGTTGAAGGTCAGCCCTATGCAAAGAAAAGGGTAATTGACTTCCAGTTAAAAGACCTGAAAAGGAAGAAATAGAGAAAGGAGCTAGAAAGTAAGAGAAAAAAATCAAGCCAAAAAGATCAATCCGGAAGCAACTCTGTGGGAAACTGACTAAAAGAGTGGAAGAGTTCACACACACAATGAAGCTGGTGAAACTCACAAGTCAGATGAGTGCTCTAATGAAGCGATGGAAGGAATTAAGTTAACTCTTTATCAATAATCTCAAGGAGCATTAGCCTGTCACAAGAAGACTGTTGGTTGTGAAGGATTACTCGGGACGAGTAATATCTAGTTTTGGGGTGTTGATAGTCCTCAAGAGTTGAGGCCCATTAAGTGCAAATTGTTCCACAAAACCCATGTTTTGGTTATAAATCACGCCCTTTAACCTTCTTCTTTTCATATAGAGCAACTGTTTTGAATAGTGGACCAGAGCAATGCCGAAAGTGACAATGATTTCACAATTACTATGCCTTAGAGGTGGTGGGATGAAATGGAAGGGTGATTGGAAGGTTCACAGCTGACAAACAAGAGAAAGAGACCAAGAGAGGAGTTTTGATTTCGAATATAATGAAAATGAGGCCAAGAGAGGTCTGGATATAGGGTTTTTCGCGATCTTTAGTCGACTAAATAATGTTCTTAGTCGACTAAAAGTGCAAACAATTTAGTCGATTAAGGTGAGTTTTTAGTCGACTAAAATTCGCGTTTCATAATTTCAGAGTTTAGCCCATTTAGTCGATTAAAAGTGCAACTTAATCGACTAAATGGGGGCAGGATGGTGGATAGTTCTGGGGGAGGGGCAAATTGGTTATTAATTATTTAATTAGGGGCAAAAGGGTCAAAAAGCCCACTTTTATCTCTTACAAAAAAAAATCAACTTTGGATCTCTTCAATTCCGATTCTTTGAAGATGTGTTTCTTCATAAATTCAATTAAGTCCTAATTTAGTTCGTGAAAAAAAGACTAATATCAATTTTTTTGTATGGGATAAAAGTAAGGACCATATTCTTTATTAGGGACTGAAAATAGACTTATGTTTAAACAGTTGTTTAGAATGATGGCACGGATTTCACCTTTTTTTTCCCCATGAAAAAAAAGTCCGTATTCTTCTACATTGACTCTTATAAAACCTTGATCACTTTTTTCTTTTTCCTTTCTATAACATTGTTCTCGTAGATAATTGAAAATATTCGATTTTCATAAAGTTTATCCTTTTTCTTAATTTGTGTTATTCTTCATTATATAAATCTTGCATCATAACCATTTTACTCTTTCTTTTTCTCCTAAAAGTGCGAAAAGTACTTCTTTTTCTCCTAGAAGTAATACTTCTGTTTCTTTTGTCATTATTTTTTAATTTTCTATTTTTTTTAATATAGTAATGACTGAGATTCTTTATCTATAACCGCATGCACATTACTCAGGCCTATTATCACCACTTGTTCACTAGCACAGCTTTTCTTTAAATTAAAACTTAAAACTACTTTTCACTTAGAGTTACTAATCTCATGTTGCTTGAGATAATTTTTTTATGTGTGAGAGATAAATATGTAAGGTCTACAATTTAAAATAAAATAAAAAAGGATAGAAAAAAGCTGACACAAAATTCAATGAGTGTATAACAGGAGATAGTTATCTTCAATGAAATGAGAAAAATGTTTTCCTAACTTTTTTGGTAAAATAATTTTCACAAACTCTATTTCTAGTTAAAATTATCCTAAATAGTATATAATTAGAAGCATCTACATTATTTAGATAAACATAAATATAATATGAAATAAAAGATTAATTTCTTAAAAAAATAATAAATACTTACTTATCAATATATTTAATAATAAAAGCAATTTATTTATATAAATAAATTTATAAAAAATATTTTTATTTATCAAATATTTATTTATATAAATAAATAAGTTAAGGAATTTTTTAATATATTAATATTTGTTTAATTTGCCTCATCATCCTTAATTTTAAGAATCTGATTGTGCTATTCATGTTGCTCTTTAATAATTCTTTTGTCAACATTTTTTGGGTCTAACGGTTACCATGTCACTGAATAAAGTTTCAATTATTTACCTTAATAAATTTATGGGGATGCATCAAATCATATTAACACATATGACTCTACATTTCTAGCTTATCAAGGACTTCATGATGAACTTAATTCCTAACTACCATTTCAACCAATATTTTCTATTTTATCATTCTTTAATTTTCCCCCACAACAGTCTAATCTTCACTTCTAACAACTATCTCTTGGTAACATTCTCAATGTTTGGGAGGGGGAAAAGAGATCAAATGACTACTACTTAGGCTAGTAGATAAAATTTGTAATACAAATTTAGAATAAAGCATAATAAAAAAACAAAAAATGAGAACTCCAAAAAAACTGACCTACATGGATACATTTCCCGCCAAATGCTTACCCCGCTTATAATAGTATGATTAGGCTGCTATAAGAACATGGATCATCACACTTAAGTTTGGTTAGACATTGTTTCTGGTTAATTTTAAACTCAAGCTTCCAAGAACATTTATAAGCGTGGGTTGGTCATCATAAAGAATATGCATATTAATTCATCAACCACTGCACCCAATTAGTGTTCTCATGCATTTTAAACTAGATTGACAGCACTGTATAGCCTGAAAATAACACATACCGATCTCACACATTAAATCATCGTACGGCCGTCAGCCACTATTATACATGATAACTCAAGCCACCAAAGGTTCCCATTTCCAATTATTCAAGCTAACATCCAGTCAAGCTCACCCCTCCGGACATAATACCTGAAACACAAGGAGAAAATGAGGGGTTTCAAAATTTACATCGTGTTGTGTATCTACCCAAACTGGCTTTAACCTTCACCCGCGTCAAGAATGTTTGTCCTTCAATAGAAAGATGAATAATGGCAAGGGAGAGCAAAATAGAATACTCTCAATTTGGTTGGCCTTCGGTTTTGGTGGTGGAACAAAAAGAAAGCTCCAACGCAGAGTGGGAGAAGATGAGGGAAGCATTATGTCTTGGGTTGAAGTTCGATAGAACGAAGAAGAGGGTAAGAATGTGAGTGAAACATGGGCTCTGTCGCTCTTTTCTTTTGTTTAAAAAGGGATAGTGTAGTTCGGTTGGCTGAGGAGATGGATAGAAAATCAAGACTTGATGAATTTTGATTTTGGATGACTTTTTTTAATGATTTATATTATTATCTAATATCGTGTTTATTTTAATTTCACTCAAAAAATCATTGAAAATATTATATCATCTTAAAGAATCACTTCAATCCAAAACTTTAAATTGTTGGATGAAAATCTTTTTAATAATTTATATTATTTTTTAATAAATTGTGATTAAGCTTAACTCGAAATTCGAAATTAATCTAACTCATTTTCCCCACTTGGATTTTTTATTAGTTCCCGTACCCAGCACAATATAAGTACATGCATATGACTAAAATGATTTGAGGTGTTATACTATCTAGAACTGAATAGAAAAAAAAAAAAAAAAAAAAAAAAAAAAACTAACTCCACAACCTACCACTCTAGGGTACAACTCTGGGCCAAAGGAAGCAAGCAACCGGAGAGAATTGAGTCTTGGACACTTCAATCGGGCCGTAATGGCCCATTGACTCCCTCAGACAAACAGAAGCTTGCCTTTTGTTACGGGTAATCAGAGAGTTGATAGAGTAGAAGAACAAAATGGTTACCTTGCTCGCTCTCCCTTTCTTGTCTAGATTCTAGAATTCTCAACTCGCTCAGTCTCAGTCTCTGTTGAAATTCGCATACGAATCCTTTTCATTGTTTACATTAGTGATTGCTCCATATTCTATCATTTGTTCTATGCTCCTTCATTCCGCATAATCCATGGCCTTCACTTCCACCCTCTCTGTCTATTCTCACCCACATGTGAGTTAACTGCATCTATGACAACTAACTAACCGTTCCTCTTTTTAATTTCTTCTTATTCTTCTTATAAACCCTAACACCTTCTCTCTTTCGCTGCAGGCTCGCCTCCGCCACCAGCGACTGCAATCGCTGGCCGTAACCGCCGCCGGCTTCGCCCAATTCGCGCGGCTTCCAACTTTGAAGAGCCGGAGAACTTGTTCTTTGTTCGTGGTTAGGGCTGCTTCCAGTGTCGAAGGAACACCGGCTCGTGCTACCGGTTCTCGCAGAGTCTATCGCCAGTCTCAGGCCAACGCACCTCTGTTCGTTGCCCCTGTGAAAAAGATTGCCAACTTTGTTGCCCCCTTTGGCGTGTTCTTCGCCATCACTTTTGGTATCCGTTGCATAATCTTTCTGTTTTTCTGTTATATATTTACGATTCTTTGTAAGTTCAAATTGTGGCCTGCATTTTAATCTGTGATGCATGGATTCGAGTAGGTGTATTGGTTACAAGTTACAACATGTAGATGACTTTATTTAAAAATGATGAATGCAACCAACGTACTCCTTTAAACTCACTCACAAACTAACTTTTTATTATTGGGTCACATCCCGCACTTGCTCTAGAAAAAAAATGTCTTTTTCATTTTTTGATTAGTGAGCAAGCGTGGAACTTGACCCAATAATACAGATTGTTAGAAACAGTGTTTAAAGAGCATGTTCGTTGCATTTCTCTTCAAAAAATTAGTGTACGGGTACGATAAGATAAACATAACATATATGTCAAAAATTATGTATATCGTCTCCACATAAAGTCATCAGAAGACATTAAAGGGCAAATCCCATGGCTCTATGACTTTGCAACGGTAGGAGTGAGGGTTGATTTTATGCAGTCATATCTTTGCATTTTAGCAAAGAGCTAGACTCAACGTGTGACGTTCCGATCACAAAGAAACAACCTTACCACTTGCTCCAAATCCAAGGCTTGCCCTCATAAAGCCATCATAAGACATTAGGAATTAAAAAAAAAATAGCCGAGTCATTCCATGATTGAGGTGAAAAAGTGGTCATTGTAGACATGATAGAAGGATAGAATTTATCAAATCTTACAATATTCACTTGTATTGGCACAAAATTATATATATATATATGTATATATATATGTGTGTGTGTGTATATATATATATATGGGCTTATCGTTTCTCAAGCTGCTTGAGATAATGTTATCTCCGGCTACTAAATCATAACCGTACAAAGATGGATCAATGGTGATAAAGAAAGAGAGAGAAAATGGGAATCATAACCATTCAAAGGTGAATCAATTGATATAAGGAAATAAATAAATAAAACGACGTAGTTTTGGAGTAGCCGGAGATAAACTTATCTCAAGCTGCTTGAGAAATGTTTTTCCCCCTATATATATATATATATATATATATATATATATATATATATATATATAGTAGTAACTGATGGTGTTTGAAAAGGACCTAATATGGTATTTCAAGTGTGGCACCTCTTGTCTCCCTCGCGAAGCCTTGGCCTTGTTAGAATATATGAAAAATGTCTCATAATACCCATAGTAGTTAATTGCGCCACAATAGCGCTGTGAGCCGCGCTGCATGGGCATTGCGGTGCCTCGCCGCAAGAAATCGTGCCGCTCTGCACCGGAACGCAATAGTGATCATTGCGATCGCATTTGCGGCCATATTGTCATAAGGCAAAATTTCAATTTTGTCCTAAATTTAAATGTGTAATAGAAAAAATTTAAGGGTTTTTTAGTTCATCCACATCTCTCTGTCACTTCTGCTATCTCTGCCTTTAAAAAATGTTTCTTTTTGTCATTATTTCTATCATATATCTATTCCGCTATTTCCGCAACCGCAACCTGCTATCACGGTATAGCGTTTTTCGGGGTTGGCCGCGACATGCCGCAATCCGCATTTGATAACTATGATAATATCTCGATTGTATCTTAGAATACTTTAGAGTATCTTATATGATCTCTTAAGAATTGATTCTTTAGATCTTAATATTTCATGATTTATTAGCATTAATAGGGATTAGTGCTTTGTAGATTGTATTCCATCATAACTCATTCTTCACAAGAATATCATTATAATTTTATTATTCCGAGTATTCTTTTTCCGCCTTCTATACCTAAATCCATATAATTTCAACAGCCCCCTAAAGTTTTCAAATTCTATTAGTCTTACAATTTTTCCTCAACCCCAGTCCCCCCCTTCCCAAACACAGAAAATTCTCATGTCTAACTCTGCTACTGGGTATCTGATACGAGTATCAGAGTATGGATCTGACAGGAGTATGGTAGACATTTTAAAGCATTGGTGCTTCCTAGTTGAGCACTTCTTCACTGCTATTAATATGGCTCTTTACTTTTTTGTTTTATTTTGTTCTTGTGATTGCATATGTGCATTAAATTTCATAATGGTGGTGATACTAATTTGTTTTCAGCTTACAGTTATCTGGAAATTAGTGGAGAAGCTTCTTGATCCAACTCCAAAGCAATTGCAGTCTTCGACTGTGGAAAGCCAATCTGCTTCACCAGGAGTGAAATGGTCTATTGCTGCTGGTACAAATTTGTTATCCCAGCTTGGGGCGAAGATTGAAAGACAATCTAAACAGAAGCTCAATGAGTTTGCTCGAGAACTGAGAGCATTTTCAAGTATTGATATGTCTGGTATGCTGGCTGGATTAATATATGGAAAAAGTTGTTTATTGTTATCTGATATGCTTTTAATTTAGTAAATGAAGGTTCTTCATTGATAATTTGTCAAAATAGCATCGTTATTGTACCATTCATTGATTAAATCTGGTCCAGGTTTTCATGATTACCAATTTTTCACCGGCTGATGTTATAGATTTTGGACTTCCCTTAATCAATAATATCCTTTTAATTGAATCTTTGTGTCTCCTCATTTTGTTTTCTTTGTCTTTTCAACTCGTTTTTGCTTTCAAATTTTAGGAGTTGATTTGATTGATAAATGAAATTCTTTGTTTGGAAAGTTATATGATAAAAATGGATTTGATTTTGAAATCCTTTTTATTTAAGTTGTGTCTACGTAGAAATTCACTCTAATTTGATTGGATTTGATTTAATTTTATATTTTACTATTTCATTGACAACCTTTCTCTTATTATTACCTTTTTTGCTGCATCTTTTTTTTTTTGGTAGAATACTGCATCTTTTAAATAAGGATAATTAAGTGAATTAATAAAATAATATGAATGATGAATCTCATTCACTTTTAGGGTATTTCAAAAATGGATTTTGATTTGTAAATCAATTTAAACCATATATTTTATATTTAGATCAAAAAATATGAATTGATTTTTTAATCAAATCAATTCCATATTTTAATCATTCCAAACACATCAGAGATCTCTTGCTTTATTACAGTTGACTCTATTGACATGACCATTTTATAGTGTGGGTACTGTTGGATCGAATGGATAAATCAAAACAAAACATTCATTTATCATACACTTAATTTGGCAGGGCGCAACTTTGGAGATGAAGGATTATTCTTTCTTGCTGAGAGCTTGGCATTCAACCAGGTTACTACTATCTATCATTTGTCATTGCTTTCATATTTTCTTGTGTATTTATTGCTTACAGATGCTGCCAGTTTTGAATCCGTTATTGAAAATTTTGTTGTGTTCTGGACAGGCCTAGACCTGAATTATTTAGAGTATTCATTGCTTCGGTTACTCAGAGGAAGAAACCTGCTAAACAGCTCAATCAATTTTAACATCTTTGAAAGCCAAACATAAATGTCGCTTTAGAATGATGTAACTAATTTTGTTCTCCTAGAAACATAATAATAGTGGCAGCAAGTATTTTGTTGTAAGTTGAAATTTTAAATGTTAACTATTAGCTATGAAGTGAAAATATGGATATGTGGTGAATAACAACTTGCATTCAAAATGGCGGCATTTTTGCTGGCATTGCATAAAAGCCGCCATTTTGAATGCAAGTTGTTATTTACCACATATCCATATTTTCACTTCATAGCTAATAGTTAACATTTAAAATTTCAACTTACAACAAAATACTTGTTGCCACTATTATTATGTTTCTAGGAGAACAAAATTTACAAAATTAGGACAAAATGGAGAAAAGCTATTAGCATGGTAGAGGATTAGACCCGTTGTTATTCCTATGTTCCAGATGGTCCCTTTTTGGTCATTTTCCTCTTTGTTTCCCCCCTTCTTCTTTTTTATCTCTTTTCCCCTTCCCCATCTTTCTTCTTTTATTTTTATTTTTTACACCCCTTTTATTTTTACTTTTATTTTTATATATACAATTATTATTATTTTTATCCCTTCGTACCGTTCATTTGGGTTCATCTACCACTGACTCCAATTAACTTGGGACAAAGATGTTGCTGATGTTGGTGTGTGTGTGTGTGTGTGTATATATATATATGTACAGTAGGGGGCACAATTTTGAAAAAACGAATTCTAGGTTGAGATATCTGTTGGTAATACCATTTAAAACAATGTAACTTACAGGGGGTGGGCAGTGCTTCAGTTCTTTCTGAAATATGCTTCCCACATTACTTAACCATTTTTTCTGACTGACCTAGTCTTGTAATCTTTTAAGGCCAAGGTTTTTTGGAATTGAATGCATTGGGTTGGATGGTCAGTTTACATTCAGAGCCCCACTTAACGAGATCAGACACAGGTTCACATATTTTGTCAAGTCACTATGATGAACAGGCTATGGAAATATGTACCGAGGAAAGAATTGATTAACACATTGGATAGATCAAATTTTGAAATAGAATATATTTCTTCGGGACCAAATATGTTGTAATTAGTTAATTACCCTCCTATTTGGTTGATCGATCAATACGCGTAAAATATCAGTTTGATAAGATATAAGATTGCTGGAAATTTGCATTGCCTTAATGCCATTATAATTTGTATAAGTCATATCTTGCTTATATTGAAATTTGCTGGATGGATGTTGGATGTAGGTTCATAATCTTGATCTACTGTCTATATTTAACAAGAAAGTAATGCAATGAAAATGCATCTTGGTGCTATCTATGTGTGCATGTGCTAAATATAGTTTGTTGTATATAGACTGCAGAGGAAGTGAGTTTTGCTGCAAATGGAATAACGGCAGCTGGATTGAGAGCTTTTGATGGTGTTCTTCAATCAAACATCACATTGAAGACTCTTGATCTTTCAGGAAACCTTGTTGGAGATGAAGGAGCTAAGGTCAGTCCTAAGTGTTTAGATTTATTACATCTCTTAATTCCGAATTTGGGTTGATTAATGTTACTGTTCCTTTATTTTATAAAATGATTTGAAGGGCCCTTTTGGATGATTTTCATAAAAGTTCAGTGCACTGGTACTTTATCAACAACTAACTCTCTTTAAAAACTTAAACAGTTAGATGAAGGCTCATGAATGATTTTGTATATAACATGTCCTTTCCCACAAGAGCCCTTTCAACATAAAGTGTGGATAATATACAGGCTCAACTTACCTTGAGTTGAAATTCAACTTCTATTTAGTAAATGGGGGTGGCAACTCTAGACTGCTTAGTCAACGAAGCTTTGATACCATGTTGAAATCTAAGGATTTAGGTGAAGCCTCGTGTATTTATTTATATCCAACACACTTATTTTCCTTTCTATGATTTTTTTATTACTATTATTCAAACATGATCTTGAGACTTTTTGCATACTTTACACTTGCGTGCTCTTCGTTTGATTAAAATGCTCTGAGTTTATATTTTGAACTCTAATATCTCAGAATTTGTAACTAACAATTCAACTCTCAATCTTATTTCTAAGGTCAAATAAACTGAAAGAAGATAGGCACGCCGCGATAACAACTAACAATGCCTTTGTTCAATTCCTTCTAGAGTATGAAGCACCTTTTCCTAAAAATCCTCTATCTTGCATGGAAAAACCTTCCTACTTCCAAAAGCCCATTTATTTTTTGGCAATTTTTCCAATGACTCGGTGATATTTTGGCCAAGCCCACTTGTTCGATTATTTGCTTACTAGTGTTTTTTCCTGGCAACCTAGCGCTCGTTGTCCCCCCTCTATTGATTCAACACGTTTTCTGTTGGTTTGGTTTCAACAAAATACATTCTCTACTGCCTCCTTCGTAGCAGGTCTTATTCATCCACCCCCGCTGTTGTACGCCACAGCCCATCAATGCTGGCAACTTTTTCGGATGATGATGAGTGATGACCCATAGATCAGGAGTGTCTCTCGGTGTTCAGTTCATCCTCAGCACATCCACCTTGAACAGGTTCCAAATGCACCCTCACGTGCCACCTGAAGGGTCTGTGTGTTGTCTTTTCTGCTACCCTCTCTGCCACGCATGGCGACTCTTGCCTCCATTTTTCCAGCTGCCACCAAGTGCACCATACTCTCCTCAACCTCCTCTCCACAGGTTTGGCTTGTTCCACTTGTTTGGACCCTCCTTTGGTGTTTGTATGGCCCTCTCCTATGCTGTCCAGGGTGCTCACATCTTTCTTCAGATTTGGTCATCTCTGGGCATCCACTTCAGTGCCTAGTTTCGTTTGCTGCATAGCACTTATCTGCCCCTTTGCTCGGACTTTGGTCTTTTTGGTTGTTGGTAGATGCAAAAGTTTTTTGACATAACAACTTATCCTCTTAAAATCCAGTTCGTTCTGGCCATTGTTCTTAGTTTCAGGCTGCATCGTGTCCTTTCGTGCTCGCCATCTTGTGTCTGTCTGCTGTCTTGCTGCCATTGTCTCTTTTCCAATGCTAACATTGCATTAATGGGGGTAAATTTGGAAGATGTGGTCTGGCACTATCCATTTATGTCCTAGACACTCTTCGACACCAATCTTAATCTGGCACCATATCCATTCCCAAATGCAGTTTGGCCAGTTGGTCTTGTCCCAGATGCAGTTTGGCCCCCGTCTTTCTCCCAAATTATATTGTTTGGTTATTTTTCCTCTTTGAAGGGTTCATTTATAACAAGCTTAAAGCTTTAGATTGAGAGGGAGTGTTTTAGAATGTTTAAAGGATATCTTATAATATTATGATTATATCTTAACATAGTTTACAGGATTTACATGATCTCTTTGGATTGGTTTTTATATTTCCTTATATTTCATGATTTGTTTCCTTATTTTAGGAGTCTCTATTAGTATAAATAGGAATTAGTACTTTGTAGTTTTTATCAATCCTTCACAATAAATAGTTTTTTTCCTTCCATTATATCTAAATCCCTATAATTTCACAATATATAAGTAGTGAGGATCGAACTTGTGACCATTTGATCACTAGGTTCTAATACATATAAAGAACCAATTCAACCCAAAAACTTAAACTTCTAGGCGAAGGCCACATTAATATGATTTTATATTATACTTTTTTAAGCATCTTGGACTAAAGATCAAGAATCTTATAGCTTACTTAACTTACCATGATGATAGTTAGAACTGTGTTTGGGACATGTTTATTACCCACTTTCTTCCTCTCTCGAACAGAAAAGAAAATAAATTTGCTGGCAAGTATTTCTGATCATTGTCATACACAGGTTTAAATATTGTATTGATATCCTTGTTCACAGTGCTTATGTGACATATTGGTGGATAACTCCAGCATTGAGAAGCTCCGGCTAAACAGTGCTGACTTGAGTGATGAGGTAAGCTTGGTGATAATTATTATTCATAGAATGCCTCCCACATTGTAACGAGAAATACTTACTTTGTTATGCAGGGTGCAAAAGCTATTGCAGAAATGTTGAAGAAAAATTCGAGTTTGCGGGTTCTTGAACTTAACAACAACATGATTGAATATTCTGTATGCAATTTACCTAATCTTTATTCTAAGACAGTCGATTCCTGAGTGTCCAAATGTTATAGTAATCTGTTTCTTGGAAATGGAGGTAGGGATTTTCAAGTCTAGCTGGAGCACTTCTTGAGAACAACAGCATACGAAATATACATCTCAAGTAAGTAAAAGTTGTCAGATTTTGTCTTCTCCCAGAATTTTTCCTCCTTCGATCCTCCTGGTTAGCAATTTGGAGGGAATGACAGTTCGATTTCTGATCTTCATGCTTTTCATATTTTAATTTTCCCTTGAACTGCTTCATTAGTAAATTTTTACAGCCCATTGCTTATTCTTTTCCTCTTTTCTGAATTCGTGTGATATTATTACTATTCAAGTGGCAATTACGGTGGTGCTTTGGGGGCTAATGCATTGGCTAAAGCACTTGAGGGCAACAAGTCTTTAAGGGTACTATTCTTTTTTTTCTTTCTCCTTTTGGATGAAATGCCCAACCTTACACTCACATTCTTTTCAAGTTATAGGTATAACTTTTGGAATACCCACCTTGGCCACTAAATCTAATTGTTTTATTCAGTTCCAAAACATATGTCTTATAGCACACAATGTTATTGTGATTTTCCTAACTGGACTTTCCAAATTCTAAATCACCTAGGAAAAGTTTGAGTGCTAATCCTTCATCATATATTCTCTTATCACAATGACACAGTATTGCTGCATCTACTTGTAGTGGATGTGGGAATCTACTGCCTCAAACAAGCTTGATTTACTCTAAAATATGGACAGGAACTTCATTTGCATGGAAATTCTATAGGAGATGAAGGAATCCGTTCTTTGATGACAGGATTATCTTCACATAAAGGTGAACTTCTTGTTGTACTAGTTTCGGATATTGACTGTGCCATTTACGCTTCAACAAATCCATTGTTATATTTTACAAGTAACTGACAAGCATATTTGTTCTCAAGGGAAACTTACACTTCTAGACATTGGAAACAACTCATTAACAGCGAAAGGAGCGTTCCATGTGGCTGAGTATATTAGGAAGAGCAGAAGCCTGTTATGGTTGAACCTTTACATGAATGACATTGGTGATGAGGTATTTTGTCTCACCGTTGTCCCTGATTTCACTGACTCAGTGTGAGGTTATCATAAATATTGTCAAAATTGTGTGCCGTAGTACGAGGTCATGCAATAGAAGTTGCCTTGCATACTGTCAAAATAAGTGTATTAGTTATAAACTTGTCTTGTGTATATGCAACAAAAAAGTTGAAAAGTAAATTGATGTGTATACTCATACATAAACACGTGCGCTCTCACATTCTCTCGCATAGGTTTACCAATTGGTAAGGAAGGATGGATGGCTGGTGGTTGTAGGGCTATATTGCCACACCTCAGAAAACTTCTGTTTTCCCTTTGTATCCCAGTAACAGCTAACAACTATACTACAAAACTGATAGATCTGCAAAGCTTGATTTTAGAGGACAATACATGTTCTGATTATACTGATCATGTAAAATTGTCAGGGAGCAGAAAAAGTCGCTGATGCTTTGAAGGAAAATCGGTCAATAACAACATTGGATCTGGTAAGAAGCGCTCCTTTCTTTGTTACCATTTACTTTGTACATGTGTTCCCTGCCTCATCACAGCCCCTGCTCTGGCCCTTCGAAAAAGGAGAAACATAAACGGCGAGAGAGTAACACTATTGCTTGGGATATGACTTCCCTTAGTTAATATTACAGGGGGGAAATAACATTCATGCTGTTGGAGTTAGTGCCGTTGCTCAAGTTTTGAAAGATAATTTAGTTATTACCACTGTAAGCCTCAATGTTTCTTAGTTTCTTGTCTCTGTTTCTTTTGTTTGTCTTTTGTATACTCTGACAGAGATTTTATCTTTCATTCTTAGTTAGAACTTAGTTATAATCCCATTGGACCAGATGGAGCCAAGGCATTGGCTGAAGTTCTCAAGTTTCATGGAAACATAAAAACCCTTAAGCTTGGTTGGTGCCAGGTAACCTTTTCACCATGTGTTACCTTTAAATTGTGTATAATCACTTTTATTTGTAACATTCAATACCTTTCCAGATAGGAGCAAAGGGGGCTGAGTTCATTGCGGATGCTTTAAAATACAATACTACGATATCAATTCTGGACTTGCGAGCAAATGGACTAAGAGATGAAGTTTGTTTTCAGTACCTAGCGTTATTTTTGCCTGAAATTTTCTTTTTTCAAATTTTCATCAGTTTTTCTTAGGCTGTTATTGTTTTATGAATCAACTATTGCAGGGTGCACTGTGCCTTGCTCGCAGCTTGAAAGTGGTTAATGAAGCTTTAACCTCTCTAGATTTAGGATTTAATGAAATAAGGGTATGTATGTGTTGTTTTGTATTTTTGTTTCATAAGGAAATTATATCGTCTCGTCTCATCGTTATGTGATACACAGGATGATGGAGCTTTTGCTATTGCTCAAGCACTGAAGTCTAATGATGATGTAGCTGTCACATCCCTAAACATCGCTAGTAATTTCCTTACAAAATTTGGGCAGGTAATATATTTTCTGCTTGTGTTTGCTTTTGCCCAGTTTTACTTTTACTTTTACCTTTCCTTTTATTTTTATTTTATTTTTTCATGGATTTGATTATACTTCACATACGCAGAGTGCTTTAGCTGATGCAAGAGACCATGTCTTGGAGATGACCGAAAAGGAAATCAACATTTTTCTCTAAAAGACATTCTACTTCTCAATAAATGTTATAATACTAGAGCAGGATTTTTTTTGGGAGGAAGGGTTTTTTTTTTTTTTTTTTTTTTTTTTTGCATATTTGCTGCCGGCAATTACTGGTAAGAGCTCGTTTACATTGAATTTTTTTAGTTCTAACCATTCATTGAGGGAAAGTATAGAAATTTGTATCAGTGTACGTTTTTAGATGTTTCAAGGGGTTATAGCCGTTGCATATTCTATTGATCTTTTTGATGATATGGTTGACCCACAAAAGTTTATGTATTATCATTACCATTCCTCGTACAACTTTCAAAGCTTCATGCATGATAAGTTGCCAGCAAAAAGGTGTTGCATGCAGTTTCCGTTTTTCTTTCTTTCTCTATCCTCGTAAGATGTTTACTTAAATATTAAACATTGATTACCGAATCGTGAGCTGGATTAGTTTATTTTGCCATATAATTTTCAATCAATATATATATATATATATATATATATATATATATATATATAGGAAATAATTATCTCATGTTACATGAGATAATTATCTCATGCAACAGAGACAAAGTAGTGTGGTTCATATTATTTATTTTTTTTGTTTTTTTTTACAATTGGTGGACCCCACTATCTTATCTCTGTTGCATGAGATAATTATCTCATGCAACATGAGATTAATAGATCCTATATATATATATATATATATATATATATATATATATTAGTTCAAACGCTCCTGCAATGTAGTTTTTTATTAATATTTTTTTCTTGGTTGGTCAATAATATTTTATCTGTTAAAATGAGGTTCCGAAGTTTCATTCAATAATTACGACATTATGGACCCATGGAAATGCCTATTTTAAAATGGTCCGCGAGCTATGCTACTATATATAGGGAAATTTATTTCTTATGACTTTGAAAAAAAAAATCTTGTTACCTATTATAATTAATTATCTGGGAGAGTATATAGTTTTAAGGGAAAAAAGTATTTAATATTATTTTAAACAACTTTATCTAATGTTCATTAAAATGATATTATTTTAGAGTTGAAAAATTAAAAAATTAGGATAATAAAAATTATTATAATCTTAAAATAAATTAAAATTATAAATATATTATAATTTTTATCCTGAAACAATGTCGTTTCGGTGTATTTCGACAAAGTTATCTAAAGTAATTTTAGGAAAAATGAATTCTAATTTTAATATTAAATTTTTTTTTCTTTTTATTCAGAATTTGTTCACTGACGTGAAAATAGAAAAAAAATAATTTTTATATCATAGTATATAGTTATAATTAGTGACAGGAAGATTTTTTTTTACAGCACCAAGAGAAAGGACCCATATAATATATAACCCACCTAAACCAATTATACTCAAGCCAGAAGCAGTTGAAGAATTCTATACATTCAAACCAATTATATTCAAGTTATTTCATTTTTTTTTTTGGTAAGCATATTCAAGTTATTTCAAGTATGGCTTCTCCACTCAAATTCACATTGTTCACAGCTTTTTTAATTATTTTGGTTGTGGGCGTTACTGCTCAAGAAGAACTTCCATTTGACTATGTAAGCAGCATCAGTAATGATGCAGTGATCGGTGGACTCTATACCTTTCTGCTTACAATTTTCATTGCCCGAGATTTGACTTTAAGAACTCTTTCAGTTTGTTTCAACAGCTTCCCATTTTTCTTCGTGCTTCAGTTTGGATGGATTTACGAACAAAATAATTTTTATGTCTTGTTTATTTTAAGAATTATTTTTTTTACAAAAATTAAAGCTATGTAGATTTTTAAAAAAATATTTGGGTTTTGAAAAAAATATATAGCTTTTGACTTCTATTATTTTTAGAAGCTACAATTTTTTGTTTTTAAAAAAGCAGATTTTTGGCTTTTGTAGCTTCTGTTTTTTTAAAATCAGACACTCAAACGGATTTTGTAGTATAAGTGTTTTTTCTCTAAAAAAAATAGTTTTTGGCTATAAAAAATTTTCATCCAAGCGGACTCTTACTCTTGAAATGTCATATACATTTTGGACTTCTTTGTGTTGTACGGAATTTTGTATTAATAAACTTTGATTATCTATAGTATACATGAAGAGATTTCAGGAGGGCGAATCCGAATTGGTGATAAAATTGTTCCTATGACTCAAAAGTCACATATTTGACTTCTAGAAATATTAAAATATTATTGAGTCAAAATTATTTATAAAGAAAATTTCAGCTTTTGTAGTAATAAACTTTGATTATCTATAGTATACATGCAGAGATTTCAGGAGGGCGAATCCGAATTGGTGATAAAATTGTTCCTATGACTCAAAGGTCACATATTTGAGTTCTAGAAATATTAAAATATTATTGAGTCAAAATTATTTATAAAGAAAATTTCAGCTTTTGTAGTAATAAACTTTGATTATCTATAGTATACATGCAGAGATTTCAGGAGGACGAATCCGAATTGGTGATAAAATTGTTCCTATGACTCAAAGGTCACATATTTGACTTCTAGAAATATTAAAATATTATTGAGTCAAAATTATTGATAAAGAAAATTTCAGCTTTTTATCCAAACCAAAATATAGAAAGTGGTTCCTATTATGTCGATGAACCTGCTTCCCTATCTTGGTTCTCTTTCTTTCTTTCTTTTTCATTAGAATGCTTCAGATAATTGTACCCCACATGTCATACCCGATAAAAAAAAATCTGATAAACGTTGGTTAGAAGAAGATATTTATAGCAACAAGGAACATAAATCATTTTGAAAAAAGTGCTCACCGGCCAGTTTACGGAATGCAATTACAAGTCACAACAATCAAAAAAATTTATTTTTTATTTTATGAATCTGGAAAGTATCCACATTCAATCTTCCACAGCCACCTTGTCTTTAAAGTATGGTCCCAAAGAAAAGAAGCACATCTTCTGGCCTTCAAAAATATGCTTTGACCAAAGTTTAAATCCGTGACCAAAGCAAACTCTTGGGAGCTCAGTCGCCAACTAAGCTACCCTTAAGGGTTAATCAATTCCTTTTTTAAATGATGGATTAACTTCAACATCAACATCAAGAGCATATTTAACCCAAACTAATTGGGTCGGTGCTAAATGAACCCAATAATAAAATAAATAAATAAATAAAGGAATGAAGAAGGGGAAATAAGATAAAAGAAGAAAAAGGGAAAAGAAGGAGGGGGATGAAGAGGAGAGGGACTAAAAAGGGACCATCTATAATATAAGAATAATAACGGGTCTAACCTTTCACCTTGTTTATAGCTTTTCTCCATTTTGTCCTAAGACACACCGGCTGCCAATCTATATCTCACTCCATTAAGTCTTGTTTAACTACATTTTCCCATATAAGTTTTGGTCTACTTTTACCTTTCTTTGTTTCGAGCTCTTGGTAACAAACTTTTGTTCTTACGGAAACATTCAGGGATCATCTCATTAATTGCTCAAATCACCTCAATCTATGTTCCATCATCTTTTCAGCCACATGTACTAACTCCGCCTATGTGTGCTTGCATGCATAGCCTGTCCCAAGTTAGGATAAAAGAAGAGGGTTGGCGTCATGTGTAGAGAGCATGCCGTAAAAAACAATTATACTTATGAGATGAATCCTTTTAAATGATGGATAATAATAATAGATAATAATAATAATAGATAATAATAATAATAATAATAATAATAATAATGACAGATTAACATCTATTCCTGATAGCATAAATTGACATAATAATTTTTTTTTTTGACAATGACATAATAAAATTTTAGTGAGCCTGGCGCGCTTTTGACTAGTAATTAAACTGATTGTCTAACCATTTAGGAATGTCATATTAGTACGCTTAAATGATATTTCTGCTCATTTATTATGTTCCTACAATTATTTTTTTGGAGTTGCATCACGTGGCATGATCTCAGCCATCCAAAGTTCATATCTTTCCTATAATCTTCATCTTCAGTTGGATCTACGTATTTATAGATATCGATTTGTCGGAACCTACACGCGGCAATAATATGAGAGTATGGATAGTGGAATGAAGTTAAACTTCCATATTGACAATCGGATTTACTCAAATTGATCGAAACAATACGACCACATGTCTGTATAAAGTAATTGAAAGTCTCTTCAACCTTAAACATATGTGAATCACGATCATAATTGCAAAGTAGATGCAATCTCTAGGTTATTTTACATCGCATCAAGCACCTCAAAGTAATGATTATGAGCAGCTATTTCTTGAAAAGCATTATTTCCTCTCATAACAAAGCACTCATTTGAATTGGGAAAAATATTACTATAAGAACTAAAGTCTCTTTTCTTTTTTTGAAATATTCCAATCGGTTCATTGCTTCGCAACTAATCCGATTCGAAACGGGTCTAGGATTAAGACTTTAAACCCTTCTCAAAAATGATACTGAAGAGATTTGTGAATGGCTAAAATCACAAATCACGTCACATGAGGAGATCTGTGAGTTTTCAATAGAATTCGCAGAACTTAAAGCGCGAAATAAAAAAATAATGAATTTTTCAATAAATTATTAGAACTCATTAAAAAATAAAAAATAAAAATTTCACACTATCAATGAATAACTTACCTCTCACGGTTAAGTTGATAGTTGTAACAATATCGATTAAAATATGTAGATAACATTTCCATTTTTTTTTGGAAAAAAAAATCTGTCATATTGAGGTAAAAATAAAAATAAATGAATTTCATTAAAAATTTTCCCTTCTCTTTTTACCGTTGGAGTCATTATATGGGAAAAATAATGTTAACTGCTTAAATTTTGTTTTATTTTTTTTCATTTTTATCTGCACGTTTTATTTCGGTTTTTTCGTGTCAAATGAGCTTACGTAAAATGTTTCTGGCAGAAAACTTGTAAGTTGTAATGACCCAAACCACTGACACCTGGTTCCAAAAATCAGCAAGATAAGAAACGTAAAGCCTATATATCTACCATAGGAATATTCTTAATAATGGATAGTTGACTATGATATTGCTCCAGAACAGAAGTATACACGTCACTCTTGTGTCGTCACTCATTACCTCGGCTTGGCTTCAATATGTATACGTCAACAACTCTCCCTTCCTTCGTCTAGATTACGCAACATGAAACCTGAATTTCTGGATCTGAAATTTGCATAGAGATGTGTACGTTGAAGTTCTAAGAGGTTGAAGTTGAATTGTGCTAAAACATTAACCCAAGAAAAGTCAACTCTAATCAATTTTTCTATCATTATCTACTTTATTTTTAATATTTTATTTCCATAATTTATCTCTGTGTTGTTTCTTCTCTTAAATTTTAAAGAATAAAAAAAGTGCTATTGTGTTTTTTTATGGGTTTTATAAGAATTATGTTGTAGGAAAAGTGATTGTGTTATGTTATAGAGATTCGTTTTGCGTGCCAAAGTTTTTTATTTATTTTGTGGTTTCAAAAATTGTGGGTCCCACAAAATGTTGTGTTTGTATGAAAGTTGTTGTGGTCATGTTAAATGATAGATGCAAAACTCTTTTTTTATCGATATAAGAATCAAACACATAATCTAATACAAATTACCAAAACTCTTCACCACTAACCAAACGTAATGACTTTGTTATTGTGTTATCTTACAACATTGTTTACCTTATAGCAATTAATGTCCTTAAATTCTCTTGATTTTTTTTTTTTTGAATAAATTCTCTTGATTTGTTTCTTTACCTGTTATTATTTCCAAATATTTGTTCCTTTCCTCTCTTGTCTATCATTTTGAACTTCTTTACACCTCTTTTTTATAACTTTTTTCTTTGGAATAAAAATATGGACTAAGGCGTATAAATGAGTTAGGTCGGCGTACAGAAATTTATGGCCTAGCCAATATTAGGTGAGGCTTGGTCGATTACATATAGTCAAATATAGCAAATCTAGGCTTTTAAAAAGATCTATTTAAAAAGTAGATTGTAGGTTTTTTTTTACATGTCAGATCTATAAACTTACATGTCGGCTTATATCATATTATTTATTTTAAATAAAAATATAAAATAATTATTTTAATATAAAAATAATATTATTTTAATTATTGAATGTTTAATAGACTCAAACAGGTTAAAAGATCTAGGTCAAGACTTTTATTTTTTAAATATAGGTTAGACCAGACTTATAATTTAGACCTACACAAAACTAACAGATGAAATCAAACTTAAATTATTTTACACAAACCAAAGCTATTTAAGCCAAAAACTAACAACCCCCGATATACATTCAACTGGATTTTATATTACTTGAAATGCGGAACATACGCTTGTTGTACCAATACCCTGTGTAGCAAGCGTTCATCCTAACAACTCACAACACATTCAATGTACCTTTTCTCTTCAATGCACGTTTTGAAAAGAAAAGAAAAAATACTCACAATATTCGAATGCACTTCCCTTTTACTAACAAAGAAAGGTTATATTATTATTATTTTTTTAACTACTTCTTATTATCAAATCGTAATTATTGATTTTCGTCAATCTAACGGTTATAATTTATTGGATCACATTTATTAATTAATTATTAATTTTCAATAAATTATAATCATTAGATTGACGGAAAGCAACAATTAAGATTTGATAGTAAGAAGTAGTAAGAAAAAAAAATTAGTGAGTATAACCTCCCCTATAACAATACCAAAACTAGTGTGCATCTTTTGTTTTTTGTTTTTTTTGGTTAAGAGATAACTCTTTTTAATCTAATTTTATCTTCTCTCAGTTAAACCAGATTTGAAAAATAATTTTTTGAATAAAACAAATTTTGTTAAAACAATGTTTTTATTATTTTAAGATAGTGAATAAAAGGTGATTTAAATTTAAAATTAAATTTTTAATTTTAATTTTTTTAATCGATCATGTTTTTGTTGTTTTAATTTTTAACTTAATTTCAATTCAATTTCATTCCTTGATGATTCAAAATCTCCCTTATATGGAATGTACAACTCTTTACTAGCAGTTTTTTTAAAACTAATTCTACGAAAAATTCATATATTAAATTAACGAAAAAGTATTTGCATTTTAAATTATACAAATTTGTGTTATTTTAGATGAAATGATGTCGTTTTGGTACATAACTGGTAATTCTTTATATTCTCTTTCCTTTATAAAATTAAGAAGAGAGAGAAAGTGGAGGAGAGAGAATGTAAAAAATCACTAATTATGTCATCTAAAATAACACAAAATTATGTTATTTAAAATGATAAATATTTTTTGTTAATTAATATATGAATTTTTCGAAGCATTAAAATTAAAAAAAAAAAAAAAAAAAACCTCCGAGTAAAGAGTTGTACATTCCATACATGGGAGATTTTGAATCATTTCTTTATTTTTAATTATATTAGACAATACAATCTCATTTATTTATTACTACATGAAATAGATTTGTTATCATCAAACGGCCCCACAAACTGATGATGAGTATCAAGGGACAATGACCATATTGCCACTTTTTAGGCAAAATTTTACCTGATTGCCACTTCTGAAAAAAAATTTGCCAAAATGTCACGCCTGAATCCCGCTGGTCTGACAAGCGGGAATGGACTGGACACGTGTCAGCGTCTGAATGGTCAACCATTCTCGCTGGGCTGCCCAACTAGAATGACAGAATGCTGACACGTGACAAAAACACAGGCATTGTCAGACCAGCGGGATTCAGACGTAGCATTTTGGCAAAAAAAAATTCAAAAATAACAATGAGGTAAATTTTTATTAAATGAGTGACAATATGATCAATGTCCCGAGTATCAAAGAGAAAAAATATCGTAACAACTCCACATGATAAGATAAACTATAAAATCATTATAGAAACTACTGTAGTACTGAACTTTTTCTTAGCACAGTGATTTCTAAAGTGAGTTGGGAAACAAATGTGATACTCCCTCTTACGACATCACTTATTACCTCATCTTATACATCATAAATTCCGTTTTTGTACGTCACCTAATATATGTCAGAAGTGTTTCATTTTGTGTGGTTCTCCTTCAAAGACAACCTTAGACAAATGCTGTCTTCACTATTTGGTACACTTTTACCGTATTCGAATTGAATGCAAGTTGATAGCCGTAAAAGGCTGGTGAGATCCCGTAAATGATTTGCATGTGCTGTCATTAGATTTAGATTCATTATTTCAAACTTGAATTTTTACTATTTAAATGTCTTTGACTTGTCCGCGAAAAACAAGTAGCAAGTTAATAATTAGGAAAATGTTAATCGGAGCAGGTTGAATTGGCAGAGTTAAATAGTACAAAGAAAAATATCTGAAATTTGATTCCTGCATCTAGAGAAATGATCTAGAGGTTCATATTCAAAATTTTATAATTTTGGTTATGAATTTGTTTTACTTTTCATATTAAGTTGCAATAAAAGAAGAGATAAAAAAAAAAAGTAAATATCCTTTTTGGTCCTCAGAAAATTTCACGAGACCCGTTTTAGTCCCTAGAAAATAAAAAGGCCCATCGTAAGGACCCATTTAGTTGAAATCATGGTCCTCGCAAATTCAAAAAAGAGTCATACTAGTCCTCAAAAGGACTAAAATGGGTCTAATTTACATTTTTTATGGACCACGATGGGCCTTTTTATTTGCTAGAGACTAAAACGGGCCTCGTAAAATTTTCTGAGGACCAAAAATGATATTTACTAAAAAAAAACTGAGACGTGGTATACACGGCTAGTATATATATTTGACCATTGTCATTGTATATGCCACCAATTTGGTTACGTAAACCAACTAAATTATCACCACATTCAAGATTTGAATCAAATTAATGCGGCTACCACAATCGCACTTAATATGCGATTCCTAAATATACTGGCCAATTACCTCATAAATTGTTGTCAATTGCCACAAGACATAGAATTTATGATGATAATAACTTGTCAACCTAATAAGTACATATGAATATCTAAGTCCAAATGATCAAGCAGTCCCAACTCTCATGTCAGAATAATAAGTAAATATAATTTTATAATTTTTAAAAATTTGTAAATACGTAGTAGAAAATATTTACATGCTTATTTTAAATATTTGAATGAGAAATCAATTATAGTAATTAAAACATCATATTGATTGTTGATTATTCATGTGTGTTAATAGTACCAAACCAGTATTTGCAAGAAGAAGAAACGAAAAGGTTCTGTATATTCATTAGCTCTATATCTTTCTATACAAAAGGAATGGTGAGATATATACACGTAGCTGAAGATAGCAGTAGCAATTCTGTTATAACAAATCAGCTGACGTGGCCACTAAGCAGAACAGAATGGGTGAATGTGCTCACTAACTATATGAAAAAATAAATGAAAAAATACAAAGAATAAAAATGACATATTGTAATACTCCCCCCTCTAGATGGGGAGTATATGTTAATGATTCTCATCTTGGATAAGAGACCAGAAAAAAGTGAATGAGGCAGAGACTTGGTGAGCATGTCCGCAAGTTGATGAGAGGAGCTGATGTGAAAGGTCTTCAATGTGCCACGGGAAATGCAGTCACGAACCAGACGACAATCGATTTCAATATGCTTGGTACGCTCATGAAAAATCGGGTTGGCTGCTATGTGTAGGGCAGCTTGATTATCACAAAACAAATGTGCTGCAGAAGGATGAGGGAAGCCAAGATCCTTGAGTAAATGCAGTAACCAAAGAACCTTGCATGTGGCATGAGCCATGGAGCGGTACTCAACCTCGGCTGAGCTACGAGAAACCGTATGCTACTTCTTAGACTTCCAAGAAACCAGAGAGTTGCCAAGAAAAATACAGTTTCCAGAAATGGACCGTCGGCTGTCTGGACAAGAAGCCCAGTCTGAATCACAAAAGACTTTCAGTTGAGAAGAAGAAGTAGAGGGGAAGAACAGACCTTGACCAACAGATGCTTTGACATAAGCAAGCACACGATGAGCAGCTTGTAGATGAGGTACCCGAGGAGTAGCCATGAATTGGCTGAGATGATTTACAGCAAAACATAGGTCCGGTCTTGTAATTGTTAAGTACAGCAGTCTCCCAACAAGCCTTCGAAAGACAGTAGGATCAGGAAAAGAATCTCCATCATGTAGGGACAGCTTGGAGTTAACTTCAAGGGGAGTGAATTTTGGTTTGCAACCAGATAAACCTGAATCTTGGAGAATATTTAGAGCATAGTGATGTTGACAGAGGGAGATTCCCTTCGAAGAGCGAGCTACCTCCAAACCCAAGAAATATTTTGCAGGGCCAAGATTCTTTAGGTGAAATTTGCTGTCCAAGAGAGATGTAATATTCTACACCTCAGAGAAATTATTAGATACCACAAGAATATCATCTACATATACCAACATGGCTGTAAAATTAGAAGCAGAATTTTTGACAAATAGAGAGTAATCAACCTGTGATTGAATGAAGCCAAGAGAGACCAAGGTAGAAGAAAATTTGGCAAACCATTGCCTGGAGGCTTGCTTGAGCCCATAAAGTGATTTGTGTAAACGACATACAACATTTGGAAGGGACTCTCCCTGTCCATGATATCCGGGTGGTAGGGTCATATAGACCTCTTCAAGGAGATCTCCATGCAAAAAAGCATTGTTGACATCCAATTGTATGAGATGCCAATTGTTGAGGGCAGCTAGTGCTAGAATAACCCGAACTGAGGTGAGCTTGGCTACTGGGGAAAAATCTACTACCTCTTGTTGTGTGAATCCTTTAGCAACTAAACGGGCCTTAAATCTTTCAACACAACCATCAGCATTGTATTTGACCTTGTAAACCCACTTGCATCTAACAGCATTCTTACCAGGGGAAGTGAGACTACAGTCCAAGTGTGATTATTTTTCAGAGCCAATAATTCTGCATCCATTGCTGATTGCCAATCAGGGAGCTGAGAAGCCTCAGAGTAAGTAGATGGTTCAAAGTGGACAGTCAGAGAATTTACAAAGGCAGAATATTAACCTTGGGATACACCACCCTAAAAGCTAGCTCAAAGGGTGGGAGTGCCCAAGACCTTATAAACTCTACATTAGTTGCACATACAACCAATGTGGGACTATATATCTCAACACGCCCCCTCACACGAGAGCCCATTGGGCTTGAAGAGTGGACAATGCAACAGGCCTAGCCTACCTGTGCTAAGAAACGCCATATAAGAAAGTGGGGGGGGGGGGGGGGGCGAGGCTCTGATACCATGTTAATAGTACTAAACCAGTATTTGCAAGAAGAAGAAACGAAAAGATTCTGTATATTCATTAGCTGTATATCTTTCTATACAAAAGGAATGGTGAGATATATACATGTAGCTGAAGATAGCAGTAGCAGTTCTGTTATAACAAATCAGCTGACGTGGCCACTAAGCAGAACAGAATGGGTGAACATGGTCACTAACTATATGAAAAAATAAATGAAAAAATACAAAGAATAGAAATGACATATTGTAATAATGTGCCTTTAACTAAACAAAAGCTTAAACTTTTGGAAGAATATGTTGTGTAACATATATTCGATGACCAAATATTTTAAAGTTTGATCTTGTTGTTCCATTTGTTCTTTCTTTTTTTAAAAGGCACAAGATAATATTAAAAAAAGAAATTATATATTATCCACACACTCAAAAAATTCTCAAAAGAGATATGAAACTATTATTTATGTACTTTTACTTAATATCTTAAACTTTTGGAAGAATAATTGCAAGATACTCAGAGCATAAAACCCACTTTGTATAATAGCATAAATTGAGGAATTCAACTTTACCGGAAAAATAATTATATTAACAAAAATTATTTAAAAGCAAAAGTATTAATCTTTACAGATAAAAAAAAGTCAAATGTCCTTCACCAAAAAAAGAAGAAGTCAAATGTACCAAAAAAAAGTCAAATGTTTGAAGATATTAAGTTGAAAACTCCAAGGAATCCGAATCCAGCTGGTCACTGAAATAAAACTCATAAATTAAGAAATTCAACTCCCCGAAAAATAATTATATTATATTAATAAAAAATATTTAAAAGCAAAAGTATTCATCTTTACAGATAATAAAAACCAAATGTTTGCAGATACGTAGTGTACTGTGGAAGGCTCCATAGAATCCAAATCGAGATAACTGAATTTAAAATAAATTTTAGCCGACCTTCGATTAATAAACAAATTCAAATTCAACCGACAAAAGTAGTTTTTACTTTATTATTTTTTATGTATATTGACAAAATTATTCGCTTTCAACATACTCATGCAATTACTTGTTTAAAACATGGGTTTGTTATTTTTTTCATGGGACATATATTTATATTATGGTAGAATTTTTTAATATTGGAGTAAAATTTAAAGTTTAATATCTAATTTGAGAATCGTTGAATAAATAAAAAAAGATGACTCTGATTTGTAAACATATGACACAATACAATTTATTGCTAATTATTAATTAATTAATTTAATCAACAATGGATAATTAACAAAAAATAACGATTAAAATTAAAATTAAAATAAATATATATTCTTTAAAATATATATATATATATATATATATATATATATATATATATATATATATATATATATATGAGGCAGGATCATTTGACACCGGTGTCAAAGGAAAAGTTTGACACCACATCTGAGAGTCGTTAAATTAAAAAAAAATCAATGGTGTCACATGCTTACAAATTAGAATCGTTGATATTTTTTAATCTAACGGCTCTCAGATGAGGTGTCAAACTTTTTTTTGACACCGGTGTCAAATGATCCTACCTCTATATATATATATAATAATTCGTTTCCTATAACAAAACTATTAAAACCTTCAAAGGTTCAAGTTTGTTCATATGATATGACATGTCCGAAAAAGTACATATACAGAATATTATCGCATCACAATAAATATCACGTGTTTTTTTTTCTGACAAAAAAATTAAAGGGTGTCGTGTTACTTTTGTATCCAGATAGTGCTGAAAAAACATGAGATAGTTTTATGTACAATTACAATCACATAAAAATAGACCAATAATAAAAGAAAAAGAGAAAAAGATATATTAAAATAAAGATTTTTTTTTTTTTTTGCAGTTAATGTAGATAAATTATCTATATTGAGTCACGTCATTTTGGAGTAGAAATCATGATATTGTTATAATTATAATTTATTTCATAATAATTTTTTCATTATAATTTTTTAATTTTTTAACCCAAAATAATATTATTTTGAGAATGAATGTTACTAATTTATTTATATTAACCGTAGAAACATTAAAACCTTAAAATATATAGTTATAAAATTATAATTATTAATTTATCTTTATATAATTGTCATTGTATACGTAATCATGTTATATATATATATATATATATATATATATATATTTAAAAAAATTCATTTCCGTTACTTTTAATGAAAGGGATTCAATTTCAGTGATTTTGAGTTTTTGACTTTTACTTTGTATTAAAGAAAATGAAAAATATTTCACAATATACAAGGTATAAACTTTTTTTTCTACAATGATAAATAAAATTATTCTGATAATCTAAAACAAAGTTGTTTTGAAGTTTTGAAAAAAATATAGTGTAATTTAAAATTCATTAAAATACCATTTTTTTTAACCCAAAATGATTTTATCTTAGAATTTCTGAAGATAACTTTATTTCTAACATGAAAAACACTTTTTTCAAAAATATAAAATATCTTAAAGAATTTATTTCTTCCTTGTGAATTTTTTTAAAATATACTTATTTTTTAAAAAATCCAAAACAATGTTTTTTTTTTGGAGATAAAAAACAATGTAATTTTAAAGTCAGCGTAACTTATTGAAGAAATTCTGAACCCATAAAGAAATATCTTTAGTAATAGTTACGAGGCGCAATGGTAACAGTTCCGTGAACTCGAGTAACTCCGGGTCCACTCACCAACACAGTCTCGTACTTCTTGTCCTTATCGTCCCCAGCCCATCCATAGGGATCAGGGACAAACTGACCGCATGAAGTGGACGTTTGGTAAACGGAATTTTTGAAAATTTTTAAAAAATTATATTTTTTTAAAATTTAAATTTACGGGTATTATAATAAACTGAAGGTAAAAATTATATTTTTGAAAATTGAGATTCCCGATTAAAAAAAATTTTCTCCTGTACCTAACGCCCCATGATAAAAGAAATTTATTATAGTATCCTAGCCTAGGTTGACGATAACATATTATCCATGTTGGTTTATAATAAAAAAAAATTATCCGTTTATAATTTTTTTTGTATATTGCGTTATATACTCACTAAAGTAATAATGTAACTTAATATTTTTTTAAGAGTAATAATATAGTTTGTAAGAGTTTATAAACAAATAGTTTATAAATATAATCCTCCTCATCAATTAATGATAGAGACATGACTAAAAATGTGTTAGTTTATAATAATCAATTAATGCACCATTAATTATTATGAATTAATAGAAGAAATTTATTTATATTTCTCTGTAAAGCACAAAAGAAAAATAAACAAATTCATTAATTACGAATCAATAAAAGAAAGTCATTTATTCTTTCTTTCCTTTTAAAAATAAAATAAAATAAAGTAAGACTATTATAAAATCGGCTATCACGCCGACTTGTCAACTTTTGCTAAACTGGCCTATAAATAAGGGTGTTTAGGTGAAGCTATCACCCATCAAAATTAAACAAAACCACAACATAGAAAGAAAGAAAGAAAAAAAAAAAAAAATGGGTCTGCTGAGTCAGAACAATGTCCATGTCCTTGTTCTTCCATACCCAGCACAAGGCCACATTAGCCCTCTCGTTCAATTTGCAAAAAGATTAGCCTCAAAAGGTGTGAAGGCCACAATTGCCACCACCCATTACACAGTGAAGTCCATCACCGCACCCAACATTGGCGTCGAACCAATCTCTGATGGGTTCGACGAGGGTGGCTTTGCCCAAGCCAGAAACGTTGAACTTTTTCTGAGTTCATTCAGGACCAATGGTTCAAGAACACTGTCTCAGCTTGTTGAAAAGTTTCAAAGCACTAGTTCCCCTGTCACTTGCATTGTCTATGACTCTTTTCTTCCATGGGCTCTTGATGTAGCCAAGCAACATGGCATTTATGGAGCCTCTTTCTTCACGAATTCAGCTGCTGTTTGCAACATTTTCTGCCGCATACACCATGGTTTAATTGAGCTTCCTGTGAATTTGGAAGACCTACCCTTGTTGGTTCCTGGCCTTCCTCCATTGAATTGTCAAGATCTTCCAAGTTTCATAAGGTTTCCTCAAAGTTACCCTGCTTACATGGCTATGAAATTGAGTCAGTTCTCTAATTTGAACCATGCTGATTGGATGTTTGTCAACACTTTTGAAGCATTAGAAAGCGAGGTACAACTTCATTCATATAATATAATATAGCTTAACCATTTATTTATATTATTTTCATTTATTTATATCATGTTTTTTTGTCTAATTCATTATGAGTTTATGACATGGTTGATGATGATGTTTTCCTTGTGTATGAAAGGTGGTGGAAGGCCTAACTGAGCTCTGTCCAGTTAAGTTGATAGGTCCAATGGTCCCTTCTGCTTATTTAGATGGGAGGATTAAAGGGGACAAAGGATATGGAGCAAGTTTGTGGAAGCCACTAAGTGAAGAAAGCATCAAGTGGTTGGAATCAAAGCCACCTCAGTCTGTGGTGTATATCTCCTTTGGAAGCATGGTATCTTTGACAGCAGAACAAATGGAAGAGGTGGCTTGGGGATTGAAGGAAAGTGGAGTGAGTTTCTTGTGGGTTCTAAGAGAATCTGAGCAAGGTAAATTGCCTAATGGGTTCATAGACTTGATAAAAGAAAAGGGTTTAATTGTCACATGGTGCAACCAACTTGAATTGCTGGCTAACCAAGCCATTGGGTGCTTTGTGACCCATTGTGGTTGGAATTCCACACTTGAAACTTTGAGCCTTGGGGTTCCGGTGGTGTGTTTGCCACAGTGGGCTGACCAATTGCCTGATGCTAAATTTTTGGAGGAAATATGGGAGGTTGGTGTGAGACCCAAGGAAGATGAGAATGGAGTTGTGAGGAAGCAAGAATTTGTCAAAAGTTTGAAGGTAGTAATGGAGGGTAAAAGAAGCCAAGAGATCAGAAGGAATGCCAATAAATGGATGAAGTTGGCTAGGGAAGCAGTTGATGAAGGAGGAAGCTCTGACAACAACATTGATGACTTTGTAAATAGTTTGATGAATGCAGATAAGATTGGAAATCTGAATGGCTAGTACACTGGCTATTCTCATTACTAAATAATAACTAGTTTTAGACTGATTTGATTTATGAGGAAATAATAGTAGTAGTCAGTAGCATGTAATAGTTGTCATTTGTTACTGCATGCATGTATTTAGGATTGAATCAGAGAATTTGAATCCATTTTCCTTGCCAGCAGAGGAGGATGGGTTAGAGGAGAAATATTCCTTGCTATCATGCTCATCATGTCTATAGTTTCCCCCTAAATAGTTTGAAACCATGTCACCTCTTTTAAATGTAATATCTTTCTTTTCTAATTTATACATTTATGTATTTGTTTCAAATTCTTGATTTGAAAAAAAGTATCAATTCATACATATAAAGTCCGCTCTTTGATTTGAACAAGTCTACACATTCGTTTAACTTATAAAAGCATTAGTAAAAATAATATTGAAAAACTTATTGTAACCCACTTTATCAAATGCATAGTGGTATCAACTTTTTACTGTTGAATTTATTGAAGATAGTAATCAAAGGAATTCAAATTATGTCTCATGCAATTCTAATCCACATTACTCTTCGCCTTAAGTTCTCATTCTAGAATCATCCATTTTTATTGACTCCATTAAAATTCAAATACTTGTTAATACTTAATACCATAGAAGTTCTCCAGTCTTACGTCAAAGTTAGGTAGCCATTGTGACAGTGTTTGCAGAATTTTCATAAAACAACTAGGTAACTTTACATGCTTCACTGTCGCTGCCGGTCTCTGTTGCAGTAACCACATTATTTTATTTATTTTTATTAAAAAAAGTACAGATGGCATATAAAAAGGTTAAAACAAGAAAAAGAATCAACATAAAGACAAGTAATTATGAAAAGTAAACTTGATAAGATCATATCCTATTATTCAATAATAGAAGACGATTTAAATTAAAATCACAAAACAAATAATCAAAATAATTAATGATACAGTAATAAATAATTAAAGGATAATTAAAAAAGTAATCAAAATACATCTTATAGTATATCATTAGTCACTGAATCAATGAGTTTCCATCACATTCAAGATGTTTATCTACGTGTCCAACATCTTGCGCGACACGCGCAGCTTTTACCAAATGCTGACACAGATCGATTCTACCCAAACACACCCAACTCACGTTGGGCCACAGTAGCGTATTGTAGAAGCACTAATGAAGAAACAAACCGTAGCAAAATGGCGCCAAAGACAAAACAAACGAAGAAACAATCTTTATCTAACCCTCAATCTCATGGAATGTTCGCTGGAATGGTTGTCTTCTTGGTCCCAAAAGGTGTTCAAACTCGTCGGTTTCAGGTACAAACTTCAACCGAAAATGCTAATCACTGTAACTGCGTTTTTTTCCATTTTCAATACCCACTTTTTTATTTTCAATGAGTACCCATTTGCAATTCCAAAGTTTGTATCTTTTTTTCCTTGTGTGTAAGATTTGGAAGCAGAGGTTGGTGCAAATGGGGGCTATCATTGAGGAACGCCTATCCAAACGAGTCACTCATGTTTTTGCTATAGACTCAGATTCCCTTCTCCAGGAATTGGACAGGGAGCGTTTGTCACGTTTCAAAGAGGTTTGCTATTTTAACACTTAATTTTTGTGATTTATGAGTGGTTGAGTTTGCAATTGTTTCAATGGGGATGCAAAGATAGTAATAGTAGTGAGTAAACACTCATTTTGGCCCTTCATTTATCAGCAATATAAAATGGTCTTTCGATGATGCTTTGTATATCTTTTAAGTATTAATTTGATGTATTTATTAATATAGGGATGCCATGTTGCTAACATCATTCAAGGACCAAAATTGACATTTACTAATAGTATTTGAAGGACTTAATTATGTTTTGAGCTGTTTTTTTTTAAGAATTTTTATGTTGTACTTTGACTTGTATACGCTGAAATCTATTTTGTTTGCATAACAATCACCTTTGAAGTGCATAATGTGGGTTTCTATTTTTATGTTCAGAATGTGCTTCTACATGCCTTTACTCTTTTTGGTTAATGATGTTTTGTGCAGAGAATTCTCCTTTATCAATGGCTGGAAGACTGCTTGAAATCAGGGGAGAAACTATCTGAGGATATGTATGTACTGAATTTGGATCCTCTAGATGAAGATGTACCTGATAAATCTGTGGACCCTGAGCAAACTAATGGGAACATTTCTAGCGATCCTCAGCAATTACAGAATAAAAACATCAAATCACCTTCTGAGGATACAAATATTGTAAATCTTGGAAATATTGAAGATAGAAGAGAAAACGAGCTATTTTCATCAACAAGCACGACAAGCAGTCAGGGTGAAGTTGACAGTTTAAGTTATGCAAACACAAGACCTCAACATCTTGATGCTGCAAATGAGGCAGTAAGATCTATATGCCTACTGTTTAATAGAATAAGCTTATGACAAAATTTAAATTCCATATTTCTTTATAATATCTAGTGCCATATAACTGTATCTAATTATCTATTTATGCACATGCTCACATGCATATCTTGACAGCCTATGCATGACGCACACCTGGAGGGTAATTAATGCAAATGGCTTTGAAGTGCATACATTTATGAAATATAGTTTATCTTTAAGCTCATACTCTGAGTTTTATGCCTTCTTCTTGAAACACTTCTAACAAAGGGAGAACATTGCAGTCATCCTTGCCATACTGTCCACCTGATCTGAACAAGAACATAACAGAGATATTTGGGAAACTTGTGAACATATATAGAGGTAAGGCTAATATAACTCCTACAGATTGTTGTCATTTTTATTTTATTTTATTCTCGAGCTCTTGTTTATTGTGCTAATGCTGTTTGAAAGCATTGGGTGATGATCGGAGGTCCTTCAGCTATTACAAGGCTATTGCAGTGATTGAGAAGTTGCCATTTAAAATTGAAAGTGCTGACCAGATAAAAAACCTTCCGTCAATTGGCAAATCAATGAAAGATCATGTAAGTGAACTATGTGACTAGACATTCTGTCTTGACCAAATGGCTGCTATCTGACACTGCACTTTATGTAGTTTTATCTACTGGCACTTTGATGACAATATATATTGTTGGTTTCCAAACATTTTTTGCTATTACTTTATTGTTCTTCTGTCCTGTTGCATTTTTCTTATCTAAAATTTCAGCTGTCTCTAGTCGAAAATATCATTTAACTGTCCTATATGATATCCTCCTAGTTGTCATTTATTGTTGTGGGAATGAAGGTGCTTATGTTGTCAGGTTATGCTGGGGGTCCATCTAAGAGGACAATTTTGTATAAGTGTGCTAATTTCTCTATGATTCTTGAATTTTTCAGGATGTTTGTTATTGGGTTATTATCACATAGTTATTTGGTTATAATATTCTGTTATGATGCTTATTTACTCCCCATTGATGGTACAGCAATCTGAATTTGGACGTCAATAAGACTTTTCTGTGTCTTCCTCTATAATGATTTATCATTTTCTTTTACTTTTGGTCAGATAACATAACAAGCAATCGTGTTTACTATGTGTAGATTCAGGAGATAATAACTACTGGGAAGTTATCCAAATTGGAACACTTTGAAACTGATGAGAAGGTATTATAAGTGTTTACCCCAAGATCCATGAAAAATTGTATGAATAATTTATTTTGATCCATGATCCTTGCGTGATCGCATTTTTAATACTTTTGTATCATATTAAATTATATGCACACGCACACTAGCACACATTTATGCTTTTTTTGTAATTTCTTGAGCAAAGTTTGAAGTCAGTTTTTCCAGCTAAGGGTGGTTTCAACTCCTGTCTAATGTGTACTGTATTAGTAGCATGTATAGAAAATTGTTGGCCCACTGTATGTAAAATATTGTCTCTGAACTTTTATTTGTTGTCTTTTATTGTTTAGTTGATCCATGTGTAATATGAAAGGCCACATATTCTTTAAAATAATAGCACCATCTATATTTTTAACATTTTATTGCAAACCTGCTACCTTTTCTTTTATTATAGGTGAGAACAATATCCTTATTTGGAGAAGTATGGGGTATAGGTCCAGCCACATCACTGAAACTGTATGAGAAAGGACATCGTACATTAGATGATCTTAGGAATGATGAGTCACTTACAAATGCACAGAAGTTAGGGTTGAAATACTTTGATGATATCAGGCAACGGATTCCACGCCATGAGGTCTGGTGATACTGTTTGTGTGGTACCACCCTGCAAAAAAAAAAAATCCTCATTTCATTACACCAAAAAACACTGATGCCCTTTTTGATTTGATAGGCTCAAGAGATGGAACATATTTTGCAGAATGTTGGAGAGAATGTTTTGCCTGGGGTGAGCACTACAAAATTCTGACTGGACTGAGATTGATATGAGCTTCTATCTTGTCATGCATGTTTGATAAGAATCTGTCACATGAAAATCTTCATTTCTCTCTCCGTGTGTGTGTATTTCAAAATAGATTTATCTCCAAGCTGCTTGGGAGGAAGTATCCATTGTTTATTAGATAGAAGTGTTATGGTGTCTATTTTGAAATAAAATGGGTTGTTTGGTCAAACTATCACTGATTATGTAGTTTTCAGTGCTGCTTTAGTCTCCCATCTCTCTTTTAAGGTTGCAGCATATGGCTTTGACTTCTGGTTTTTCGTCTTGGTGCTCAAAGGTATTGGGACACAGATAATATAGAAATGATGGATGATACAAGCTTTATTTAGAAATATGCCACTTCTCACATCTATCTTGTTATAATCATATTTTAGAAAATTGTTGCCGTTCACATCATGTAACTCTTAGGGATCCTGTTTCTAGAACCTCCTGCCTCATGTATTTCAGTTCATGCTTTCACTTAGATTGCAGATAATTTTTATATTACTGACATGCATTAACATACGTTTTTTTGTTGCTCCCTCAGTTTGAATTGAATCATGACATTGAAAACCTGGTTATGGTTCTGTTGTGTCATTTAGGTTGTTATCATTTGTGGGGGATCATATAGACGTGGGAAAGCTACCTGTGGGGACATTGATATCA